TTAGAAGTTTGATTAAGGAAACCATAGGTTTTAATACCCCATTTATTTCTTTTGTGTGATGCTATTAATTATAACATTTAGTTTACCAAGGCGAGTTATTTTTTTTCACAGTTTTGTATATTGGCTTGAAATTTTCACATACAATGAAGATATGTTTTGATCTGTAAGCTACAGATATAACATACTTCATAGAAAAATATTAAATTGACTTTCTTGCATGTTACTAACTTCTCAAATGGAATTGAGATAAAACTTCTACATATATATAGCAACATAAATGATCACAGAAACAAATCTATTCTCAATTCATCACAAAGAGATATAATTCTTCATAATCATAAACCCTAAAATTTCAGAAAGTTAAATTTCATATTTAGTTATTTACCACCAACACAAACAAAAATAGAATCAAAATTGGGGATCAACGGTTTTGTAGTAAAGTCAGAGTTTCAGAGGTGTTGCGTCAGACTCTCACCGCTCATATCTTCCATCTGTTTGATGATATCTTGAGCCAAAGATTTAACAGATAGCTCAACGTCTTCGAGTAGTTCACCCAAGAATGGAATGGTTTCGGCGAGCAACACAAGATACTCTTCTTTCAGATTATCAAGCATCTGTTTCACGCTTCTCAAACCCAATATCCTCGAACGCAGTTTCTCACTCCTTGTTTGCATCAGCACCTGACCAAATATGATTTTGATAAGTCACAGTCGAAAAAACTTGTGTTGTGAATCTCGATAACATCTACAGTCGATCGAAGAAGTCATTAAGTTATTACCTCATGGTTCAGTGGTTTCCAGAGGAGGTCAGAGCCAGATGCTACTGCCATTTGACCGATGCATGAAACCAACAAGTCATCAACCTCTACTACTGATGGTACATGTGGATGCTCCTTCAAAGAAGAAGGCGGTTCAACTACAAGCTGTGATACAATAGGCTTCAGTAGCACCTGTGGAGAAGAATACGGTTTGAATCCAAATCAATACTCCAAGAAAAAAGGGAGAAATGGTTGATAAAAAAAAACGTATAAAGTTTAAAGACAAATGACCTGGAAGTTATTCGTATCGAGAAACTTGAAGCTTCCAGTATCATGCAGAAAGCAGTTCTTCAAGGAAGAAAGCACCAAAGCCCTAAGATGCCAGCTTTTTGGTGGTAAAGAGTCATCTGTTTCCTGAATTTTGGCTCTCTTTTTCTTCCTGGTTGTAGCTGAAGCCTCTGAATTGGTGAGATGCGATACAATACCATCAAGCATGAATTTGAAATACGGTACAAAGATAGACCTGCATTCCACAATAAGAGAGTCAATATTAATTTCCCAATTATCCAGAAGCATCACAACGTTTTAAACATGATTGTTCACTCACCTGTGGGAGTCACAAAGTTTATTCACCAGACCATAGAATGATATAGCTCGGTCAATACTCTTGTTTTCGCTCCCAGATATGTCTACAATATCCGACTCTGCCCAATCAATACTTCTGACAAAGAGAGGTCTGAACTCAGACTCAGTTAGTTTTTTTGTGAGAGCAACCATTGCATTAGTTACACTCCTCTCAGCATCATCAATGTCCTGAATTGCTGCTGGATTTTGCCGTCGAATATCAAGCGCAACTAAGCATTGGTCAAAAATCTTCCCATGGTTGGTAACAATAGATGATCTATCCATGTTAACAACCAGATTTTCTAACATCTCAAAAGCAATCACCAAGCTTGCGTTCCCAGAACTAACAGCCTCTTCATATATTCGTAGAAGAGGTTGCAGAGTAAGACGAACCTGGAAGATGGGTTATTATTAAGAACACTACCATCAAGAAAGAAAGAAAAAACAGATTCATACAAGTATGTGAAGAACTCACCGGAATTTTGTCAGTTAAGAGCCTCCTAATGGCATTTGCTTTGGACTTGAGATTCTTGTCGAAGTCAGAAACATATTCAGGATGCAGGACCATGAGTTTAAGAATATCTCCAAGATGAGGATTTAAGAAACCTCCAAGTTTATCGATCACTGCTTCCAAAGTGACCAGAATAGACAGCATGAGCAACTGTTCTTCGGCTGTTGCTTTACCACCACTCTTGGATGCAGATGATACTTCGTGTGATTGTTTTACCAAATTTTTCATTATGCTTGGAAGTTCAACGAGTGCCTTTGGTCCAAGAACATTGATCAGGGCACCGGTTGTACGAAGACAGCTTGAAGAAACTCCCAAGTTCTTTGAGCTGATGCCTTCTGCAACAGATGCAAGACATTTGCTGAAGATTGGATGACCTGACGGAAACCTGCCAGCCAAAACTTCCAGTGTAGAAATGGCAGCTCGTTTAGCTGGAACACTTGACTCGTCATCTGTTCCATCAATTAGATGGACAATTTCGTCACACATCTTCCCGAAAGATTCAATAGCAACCTCATCCAAGTTCAACCAAGGATTTCCTCTTTTCTGATTGGGGAGCCTCCTCTTCTGTTTTTGTTTTAGTTTAGTAGAAAAGGTGTCCTTGGCTCTCTCACTTATAAGCCCAAGTACCTGCATTCAAAAACAATAGCAACACGAAAAACAATTAAGCGAATGCGCATGCTAGTACAAGCCTCCAAAATCCTCATTGAGGCTAAAAAAATCAAGTCTTATGTGCTTTTCCAAGGGAATTCGCATGGCAATGTACTTTTAGGCAAACACAAGAAAGAACATCCGCTAGAAAATTTGTTCACGCACTATAGCCACGAAATTACAATGAAAACTTCTATCTTATTGCTCTAGTACGAAAATAATAAAATAGTAATTGGTAATAACGTATACCTTTTTGGTCCCATTACGATCCGACTGCTGCTTCAGCAAGCTAGTAACAACTCTGAAATATATAGATAGATCCATCGCTCCCGTGACAGTCATCAAGACATCATGTATACGCATTCTGATTTCCTTTCTAACTGCAGAAGTCACATCTTTCTCCTTTGCACCATCAACAGCTTGCAGGAGATGTATACAACCCTTCATAAGCTCCTGTAGTTCTTGCTGAAAAATCAAGAAATAGCACTTACTCTTAAGAAAGCACACAACCAGAGTTACAAGGTAAGAAAAAATCTCTATATTATATAGAAATATGCCAGATTCCAAGAAATAACATGGATGGGTATAAACAGAGGTTTAGTAACAACAATTTGTATGAAAAAAAGAAAAATTGGAAGAGACTTTACCTGAATGCCATCTGAAAGATTATTTTTTGGTTCAAGTGACACTGCATATGCAAATCCTGGGTCTTGCAACTTCTGGAATATAAATTCTAAGACAAGCCGCATCTGCAAGAAACATTGATTACTAGAACTGTCTTTGCTGGTACTTTGAAGAAGCATAACTAGGGATGAGAGCCATGTCGAAGAAGAATATTGTTCGCATATTTCCACGGCAAAAGCATACTCCCACTCTCTCTTGACAACGGAGGTAAAACTTTCAGAAGTCTGGGCATTACCAAGCCAAGCTGTGTCTTTCCTTGAAATCAAGGACTGGAATAAGAGGACAAGCAAAGTAGGCAATCCATTTTGTTCACCGATAACTCTGCAGAAATAAAGGATCATGATTCAGTATTTTCAGAAAAAGATACAAAATCCCGATTTATTTTTTATTATCTACACATTACTCCAGCAGGTAAGCTACAATTGAACGCCTTCTATGCCCAACAATGTCAGGTAACACTTTGACAAAAATCTGAAAAATCAAATTCAACATAGAATATATTAATCCACATCCACAATTGGTTTTCCATTTGAGGTACTGTATTAAGTAAGGAAAGCGAAACATCACTAAAATATTACCYGCAGCAACTGCTCCTCGCTTTTAGTCTTAGATAGCCAAAATGGGATGACAGCTGATATAAATCCCTCAAAGATAGACTTCGAGTGGCTATCAAACTACAAGAAAAAAATAAAGAACCAGCGGTTAGGGAAGATTCAGTCACACCCAAAAATATCTGGGAGTGCCAAAAAAGATCAAGAGATCTGAAAAGGGGAAAAAAATGAAATTGATACAAGTCTAAGAAGAATGTGGAATAACAAACCTGTGTCACTGTTGATTCACCAACAAGTGTGAGTATGCTGATAATATGGTCCAAAACTCTATCTGGGACAATTTTAACAATTGAAGTGAAGAGGGAGAAGATGTAGTTCCGTGTGACTCCATCATTTGATGATTGAGCAAACTCAACCAGCAATTTGATATTGATTTCATTGGCTATGTCAGCCTGCCATCAGAAGAGAATTAAGAAAAGCAAAACAAGCAACAATATTGTTAAACAACTCCATCAAAACATAAAGCATACCTTCAAAGGATTTATATTCGGTGAATCAAAGATATCTTTCAGGATCAATAGCACTGTCTGTTGGATGGAAGAAATAGAGGTCTGAGTTGTTTCCCGAACATCCTGAGGAGGTTGGACTGGGGTTTCCTCAACGGACGAAGCAATTGTTGCCCATTCATTAGACATAGACCTTCCTAGGAGCTTAAACAAAGGCCCTACAAGCGACTCCCTAAGAAAAAAAGTAAGTTATTCAAGGTCAGTTGGGCAATGAAAATGTAGCCAATTACCAAAAATTACAATGTACATGCAAATATAAGCATATATAGTTTCAAGAGACCTGTGAGCTAGATCTTTCTTTAGAAGCAGCATGTCAAGTAATGAGGTAATAAAAAAGAGAGCCTTTTCTCCTCTAAGAAGTTCCCCACTATTTACGTCTTCTTCGGAACATGACTTTGAATTTTTCTTCTGTTTCTTCTTCTTGCTCAGAGAATCCATAACAAGATTATCCTGTTGAGTGATACGATCAAGGGCATGGACAACCGTTGAGCAAGAAATCTGCAACAGCATTGAAGATACCATGTAAATAAAGAAAAATACAAGAGGCAGAAACTCTTTGAAGAAATAAATTCTCTTCTAAGGTAGTTTCTTCTTAAACTGGATAAAGGTTAGAACATAATTTTATCCAAAAATGTGCAAAAAAAGGAAGGAAGGCAGAATCCGAGAAGTAATCTGAAAGTAAACATACCTTCAGGCGTAAGACAGCTTCTTTGGCAGCACACTGTATTCTGCCATTTGCACTTCGAAACATAGACACCAGCTTGTGGAAAAAACGAATCTGATCCAGAAAGAACAATCAAGAGATTCAGTACGACCCTATATACACATATATGAAGAGTCCTTAGCCATAGAAGGATATTGGAATTATATTCCACCATGCCATCAAGACTCACCTGAACCTCAGTCTTCAGTTCAGCATAAAATTGATTGCTTAGCTTCTCCAAAATAGTAAGACATGGAGAGATAATAGCAGAATGTTCTAGTGCCATACAATCCATCTGCAAAAAGCAACCATCTGTGAATGGAACGAAAAGTCTCCAAGCAAGCAAGGAAATATAAAATAATAAACTATTCTTACTTTCAATGCATTTAGTAGATGATCATCAAGAGACTGCCCTTTAAACGCTGAACGCATCATGGAGCACTAACACAACGAGAGAAGCAAAAGCAAGATTAATATTAAACTGTAGTGCAACACAAAAGATAAGTTTTCCTAAGACACAAATGGAGATAAAGTGAATTTACCTCCAGAAGAACGCACAATAAATTGATCTCAGTGTCTGATAATGGCTGGGAAGTCTTGTCCAGTTTAAAGTAGTATTGACTACGTCTATCCAGAAGTTGAGACAATAACTTAACATTTTCATCATGCAGAAGCATGATGCCCATACCTTTTAGCAGTGACAAGACTCTTAGCTGTAGAAGAAAAAGGGTAATGTGTTAAAGAAAAATCATAAGGATACTTGACCATTGAAAGGAAAGAAAATAAAACCAAAAACAGATAGAGGAAACACACCTTCCCATAAGCAGGCAGTTCTTGGGCACACAATAATATGAACGAAAGAATGCTTTCTTTTGTTGGTGTATCAAACCTGAAGTTCGAAATAAAGAAAAGACAAAATTAAGGGAAATGCACGTTTTATCCAAGAAAACCAAAAAAGTGTATCCAACTGCTACGTTTCAGTGAGATGCAAGTTTTATCACAATCAGAGTTCACAACAATGTCCCTGCTAGTACCATGTCCTTCTGTACTTGTTACCTAGGTGGAAACAACAATGTATCCAACATCCCGACCATAAAGGTTTACTATGATTAAGTTTGAGTTCGATAAACACCGCTGAGTACCTTTTTTGCAGGTCGACTGGCACTAGAATGTCATTAGGGGTTGAGCTGAGCAACGATGTCAAGTAGGATGGAAGAAACTTATTGTCCGACAATATAAACCTCCTTTGTTGAACGATCATTCCCAAAAGTTCATCAAAAGAACTACTACAGATTGCAGCACTCCCTGGTTTTACATTTCAGAAAGGCGATTAAAACAAATGCCAGGATTAAAAAAACCACAGCTGGTGCCAAACTAAGATTACCATTTTTTTTGCTAGAATCAACACGGCACCGTAGGTTGACAAGGGCCTCAATGCAATTCATGGCCGCTACTTTAAGAGCCTACAGAATGAAAGTATTGAGATCAACACCAGTTTAAGAAAAAGAAAATAGTGCAACAGGTAATACAATCAAGAAAACACTCACTTGATTATCACTCGACAGGGGAACCAAAAGTACAGGAAAGCTAGATAAAATTTGAATCGCCCATTCATTATTCCCGTTGGAGCAAAGATACAAAAAGCATTTGAGACTTTCAATTTGGACCATAGGAGGAACATCTACAAGAAGAAGAAAACTGCATTAGAAACCTAAAGATGGAATATAACAAAAACAGTTATCAACAACTAGATTCCATAGCCCAAACAAACTCATCTGGAAATAAGAGATACTCAAGTGGTTTATAATATCAGTGTACAACTAAAGTATATATATAATCCCATACAAACCTTCTCGTGATATAAGTTGGGATAGAAACAAAACGGGACAGACTTGGGCTTCTCTCACACGATAGTGAAGGTGTTCCTGGAAGACATGCCGTGATCGAGTTGTTGCAAAAAAGAAAAACAAGACCTCAATTCCGCTACACAACCTTCTGCTAAAAACCTGGATGTAGCACACATAACAGTTGTGAGCATTGCTGGTTGGGCATCAAGAATTTCAATATAACCAAATAGTAAGCAGTTGAAGTTGAGCATCACACACCGAAGAGACATGGGTAGGTTCAAGTTTCATAAATGACTCGGCCAACTTCCAAAACAAGCAGATCAGAAGCTTTGAATTCAGTCCAGTAAAATCAGAGGTATCAAAAAGTTGATATAAGAGTTCTTGGCAGTTGCTTTTCGACAGCTGCAATTATTACACAGATAAATCAAAAACTAGCAAATATAATATAAACAACAACTGTAAATAATGAACACACCAATCTATATCAGCTAGTAGAACACTGTACCTCTTTCAAAGAAACTTCAACCGCAACCTCAAGCTCTTCCCACTCGGTCTTCAAAGCAGGAAAGCAAAGTTCGAAAAGATCCAAAAATTGGCTAGGGTCTAAATCAATGAAAAACACAGCCATCAATGTCACATCTTGATAACTTATTACATGAGACAAAGGTTATACGGTACTTAGAGATTGAAAATACTTGATCATCAGCATGTATAGTTAAAGTATAAACAATGGACAGAACCTTACCAGATGAAGAATTCAACTTGTGCAGTGACTGCATCAACAACATAAAAAATAGTATCTTGGACAAGGGTGCATCTTGGCAACTAGCAGTAAGCCACTGAATAAAGTCACCAGGGTGCCTCATAAACGTGTCCACCAACTTGTTAATGATATCCATGTTCAACGCAGACACACTTTCACGGATCAACAGTCCCTTCTGGTATGAGAAGAATTTCACAAGTTATTAAGAGCATTGGTAAAACTTCGAAAAAAAGAATATAGCAGATATAACTGCCCTCCCGTTTGCGAACACTAGACAAGAGTATTAGTTATAGTGTTTAACAAGAAAGTAATGACGAACCTGCAAATTGTTACGCTCCTGTTCTGTCAAATTGATATTGCTGCAGGATTCCAAAACTTCAGATAGCTTGAAGTTGCAAGAACTCTCAATAAGCTCAATCCTACGCTCATCAGGTTCCAAGGAAAGTGCCTCACCCAAATTATTGATAATATCCATGCTTATCGAGGATATGTTTCCAGACATGATATCTGGGAGTTTTTTCTGTAAAAAAAACAGAGTTTCTTTGATGACATGACAAAAATATTCAACAGCTGCAAAAGGATGCGTGATTGCATTTTGGAGTATGAAGAATATGCAAATTGTAAACTCATATTTACCATTCCATCATCAGCAACAAGATTCTTGAAAAGTGGCCAGTTAACATCCTTCCCCAGTTTCAGCACTTGTAGATTCAAGTTCCAAGTCTATTCATAAACATGATTACAACAATTAGCACATTGTAAAAAGGAATTTTGCCATAACCGTATAAAATAAAGGGAATGAGAAAGTACCTTCGGCTGAATTAAGAGAAATGGGAACATCGCAGAGGTAACTTTCTCTATAGAGTCTGCTTGATTACAGAAGCTTGAGACAGCAATTTTGAGAGACAATGCAACAACATCAACTGCAAGTTGAACCTTATGTGATACTCCTGCAAMAAAAAAAAAAGGTAGATACATAAATTAATTGCAGAAATGATGTATCAGATGACATCATTATTGATTTAATAATAAAGCTCTAGTCGACAAAGTTAACAAAGAACAGAGCATCTTCAGTCACCTGATAGGATAATGCCAACACACCGTTTAACCACATGAAGCAAAGCATCTAGAAGACTAGAAGAGGTTACTATATTCGGCAATTGATCAAGAGACAAGGCAGCCTGAACAACAGCCAGATCATCATCCCAAAGCTGGCGCAGTATAACATCCTGAATTGTGACAAGGTTCTGGGTGGAGCTATCAGCCTTGAGAACACCATTTAGACTAGAAAGCGCAGCACAACGTACAGCAGCCTATGATTCATAATGAGTCCTTAGTCTTGCGCAAAAAAAAAGAAATAGAAAGAAATTTCACATTCTAAGATAAGATATTATAAGTACCCGTGGATGGTGGAGGCGGAACCACAATTTTGAATCCAAGAACGGCTGGGATATGCCTGAATTCCCATCCAGCATGCGAGCCAACAACTCTAGCTTTAAATCCTCTTTCTTTGACTGAACATTAGTATCCTGTACCAAGAATTTGATGTCTCAGAAATATAACCAACAAAAGGCAGAAAATAAGACATCCAGAGTTGGACCACAAACCTCCATAAATATTTGAACCGCTGCACGGATTTCAGTTGGATACTTCTTGCTTACAACAACAAGAATCTTCTTGGCCCAGCTCCCTACAATTACATATTTAAATTGCACCCAATAACGTTATCACAAACACTGTGAAAGACAATATTCAAAATGAATATAGTTGGCACTTCACTAACCAGATGTAAAATCACTACTCTTCTGGTATTGTGTCATGCACAAAGAGAAAACCTTGGAGATCAAATGATCAACCAAATTGTTTGCTGGAATAGTATCAATTATCGAAGTTAGAGCTTCACGGCATTGATCATCGGACGAACTGCAAACAGATGAAAGCAAGTCAAAAAATGAAAACAAACAATAAAGACACACCCGTTTGGAAAATGACCAAACAGTGTAAGATATACACACCTGTAAAGAAGAAAAGAATCCAGTAGCACTGCTAGGAATCTCTTGATATTGAATTCTTTGGACAAGCCCAAAAGCACACCAGAAATATCCCTACACAAAATTGAAGCCCCCATTGTAAAAATAATAATACTGTTACAATTAAAATAGCTTAAAAGGGAAGACTGTTCATATTTGACTACCTTATTTCCTTTAAAACATCCAAAGCTTTCTTTGGGATCAAGTCCACGGATTGCAGCTGTAGTTGATTATGCAAAAACAATTAGCTCAAAAAGATCAACATTGACCAGTTGTGAACAGAATTCTCAGTAAGCAATGGAAAATCTGTTCCACCTCACAATTAGAACTTTACAAATTAGTGATATCGAAAATTATATGCAAGTGGTTTATGATAACAGAAACTTCTTGTACCTGAACAAAATTAATCAGTGCCATAAATGTCAATCGAAGCCAATGAGGATCAGAGGATTCTTTGTCGTGTTCACGGGCAACGTCAATGATGGACCTCATGAAACGTTTGATAAGATTATTATTCAGAGAGGCTCTGTTCGCCAACATGCCAACAATCATTAACGCACCAGCCTAGAATAAACAATACCAGATTGAATAACAAAATAAATTGAAGACAATAGCGAAATTAATTAATGAACAAATATAATGGAAACTAACCTGCTGATCTAAACATACTTTCACGCCAGATTGAAGACCAGCGTCCACAAAAGGCAAAATATGCTTTACAATATCTCCATCAACAGTTGTAACCGAACCTAGAAGCTCAACAACAACTGCTGTGGAGAAGCTAACCACGGGCTTTGAAGGCTGATATTTTTTACTACGAGATGCCTACAAAGTAACCAGGAAATAATATGTTCAGTGAAATAGAACGATTCAGGAACCTCGCTAGTGGGAAAAACAAAAATTAGCAGTTACTTACATAGTCACATATGGTCTCCAACACCTGCATATCACGTATACATTGCTGAACAATAACCGATCTAGGGGGCGGAGCACCAGAATTTTTCACACCATCCAAAAATTTCCACTTGCTATTGCTGTATGCCAAATGAGAGCGAAAATTTAGAAAACTATAGTTGATAAATTGTGTGGCTAAACTTAATGAGTACATGAAAGAATACTTACCCAGTCGAAAGCAACTGAACAATACGGACAAATGCATGTGTGTCGTGGTACGGCAAAGCACATAAAACCACATCTTCTACATTGTATATATGAATCCTGTCAAATCCAACAGTTAGGACAAAAGGTAAAGATAAATAGCCAAGTTCAAAAGAGGACAGTGAATAAAGAAAGGCATACTTGTATCTTCGTATCAAATACTCAAGTGTCTCCAAGGAAGCATGAAACTGAAGATAGCCCGATAGTAACCGAAGATAAGAACTGATTGATGCATTAATCCGAGCATTTTCTTCCTTCCCCAGCAATTCCCTATCAATTTCTCTACTTTTATGACTAAACAAATCGCTCAAGTAATTCTTAAACCTCTCATCTTTGTTCCCAAGCACTTCGAGACCTAAATTAACCAAATAAAGATAACATTTAGATAACCATTGCGCTTGTTCACTGGAAATCACATATTAGTAGAAGAGAAAAATCGATAACCCAGAACAGACCTTTGATCCCGAGTTCGTATATAGATTCGATATCGAAATCTGCTGCTTCTTTAGGACTGAAGAGAATCGAAGGGCGTGTATAAGGTCTCCTCGAAGGCTCTGTATCGACTTGTAACACCGATTTGATTGCCTGTAACTGCGCAGCTATTGAAGAACTCATGCTCGCAATTAGGAGATGAGATTGTTCTTTAGAACAAAATTGAAGAAGAAATTT